ACAGCTTCTGTGCTACAAGGGTGAGGAATCAGGGCCTTCTGATTTCTGTAACTGAATTCTTGGGTCTACACAACATGCCTCTCCCAGGAATCTTCTCTCTTGGTCTGAAAGTGCCTGTTAATGGTGGGCAGTCAACAAACCGTTGTGGAATGAACAATGCCATGAAGGATCTCCAAGTTCCTTTTCAGCAAAAACATCCCCAAATCCTGCAACTCACGGTTGTGAAAAATAAATGATAGCAAACACCTCAAGCACTGCATTAGATCAGATCCACGTGAAAACTTGATATTAACACCCCTTTGTGCTGAAAAGCCCTCCTTAATTAACATGCCACCATTTTGGGGGCATCTAGACTTGCATGAACTCCTCCACTTATAGTCTGGTTCTTCTCAAACTCAATGATAACAGCACTTGCATATGCAATAAACTGTAAAGCCAGTATAAGAAAGAATTCAGCTCCTAAGGACTGAGGAACTAACGGGCTATCTCGAGACCCTACAGTAGAGCTCTCCTCCCAAGAAAATTCCTTTGCATCAATGAGAATGCATTCCCCTAAACAGCGTCTCTCACTAGGAATCATCTTCCTAGGACCAAATGCTCTTTGCACAAGATGATCAGGAGATATTACAGAGGATTCAGGAATTGGCTGCAGCTAAGAAACTACACACTTAAACCGGAAAACTGTCCAGGATAATTTTCCCACTTTCCCTCAAATCAGGGATGAAAAAAAAAATCCATCACACACAGAAGCAAAGCCCTACTCCTGGCGCTCAGGTGTCTGGAATTTACAACGAGATTATTACACCCAGGCTTCTGGGCGCAGATGCCATTTGGAAGGGATTGACTGCCACCTCGTGGTAAGAATGTGCATTACAGTTCAAGGTGAGGGCCCACATAACCTGTGCCTGGCTCTAAGCCACTTCTTCCAGGACAGGAGGGCTTATGACATCTTTTGCCATGCCCCAATAAGCTAACAGAGGAGGACAGTATTAAAGTGTCTGGCAATAGCCCTTGGTTGGGAATATGGTATTTTGAATGACTGGTTTCTCCAAGGCAACCATACCTGAGTTGATTTGCTTATATGCTCCTAGTTTCAAAAAAGCGAGTATTTTTCTAATTCTCTCTCCATTGACTAAGTTTCGAAGAAAACTATACTGTAACCGCAAGAAAAAGCCTAACTCCAGGACTTCGTTCTCTATTTTCTTTCCCACCCAATTTCTCTCTTCTTTTTCCTTCTCTCCCTCCCTCCTTCCCTCCCTTCCTTTCTTCCTCCCTTCCTTCCTTTACTTCCTACATTACCTCGGTTTAAATTCCTTCACAAAGAAAGCCCTATAGCCAATCCATCTATTACTTATTAGCTGTGTGGCTTTGGGCAAGTTCCTTAACCTCTCTGTTAAACATCCCAAAGAATGGTTTTTACATTTTTTTAAAGATTGGGGGCTTCCCTGGTGGCGCAGTGGTTGAGAGTCCGCCTGCCGATGCAGCGGACAGGGGTTCGTGCCCCAGTCCGGGAAGATTCCCACATGCCGCGGAGCGGCTGGGCCCGTGAGGCTTGGCCGCTGAGCCTGCGCGTCCGGAGCCTGTGCTCCGCAACGGGAGAGTCCACAGCAGTGAGAGGCCCGCGGACTGCAAAAAAAAAAAAAAAAAAAAAAAAAAAAAATCTGAATCGAATAAAGCCTTAGACGCCTGCTGGCAAGCAGTAGAAGGGCGAGTGGAACAAGCTGAAGGGCATCACCCTGGCCGCATTGTGGATGCTGCAGTGGGTCTCGGAAGTCCCCCCCATCACAGTCTCCCGATTGCTGGGAATGTTGGCTACTAATGGATTACGGCCGAACTGCCCTCAGCTGAAGAGACCTGCCCTGCCTAAGGCTAATCCCCTCCAGGGAACGGCCAGCTATGAGGATCTCTTGCCTCTATAATGAGCTCTACAGCGCCCCCGTGAGGCCTCACCTGCTACTGCATTGCAGCGCCATTCCTCCCTGCACACAAGACTGGTCCCCTTCCTCACAGGTGTTAATCATGTGCCTCTTTCCCAATGAACCACCTGTGTATGAATCTCCATCCCAGAGTCTATTTCCCAGGGAACACGACCTAAGACATCCCTCCACAGTCTATTCCCAGCATAACAGCTAGAGTTAGCCTCTTCAAAGTAAGTCGGGTCATTCCTCCTGTTTGAGATCCCCTCAATGACTCCCAATTCATAAGCATCAAAGGACAAGAGCCTTGCCATCTGCATCCCAGGCCCATTGCCTCTTTGACCTCATCTCCTACTCCTCTGCCCCTCGATCACTCCAGCTACACTGGCTTCCTTGCTGTTCCTCAAACACACCAGGCATCCTCCTGCCTCAGACCTTGGCACGCACCATCCGGTCTTCCTGGGATGCTCTTTGCCCCGCTGTCTGCTTTCCTCCTCCTTTAGCTGCTTTAAATCCTGACTCAGAGGTGACCTCAGCGAGGATTTCCTTACCCTCTACCTAAGTGTGCCCAACTCCACCCCACCCCGGAGCGCCACATCCCTCGTCCCCGTTTTAGTTTTGTCCATAGCACGTATCAACATCCAGCACTCAGTGTATTTCCCTTATGTATGTTAATATCTGTCTCCTCCACCGGAACGCAAGGTCCATGAAGGCAAGGACTTTTTTCTGTTCTGCTCACTGCTGTATCCCCAGAACCTAGAGTAGAGATGGTACCCAGTTGTTGCTCCATCAATAGTAAATAATTGAGTGAATAAATGGAGAACTATAGACATGGAATCAGAAAACCTGTGATCTTTAGAGAAGTCCTTTAAACAGCATCTGACTCTTTTCATGTTAAAAATGGGAACAATTCTGGGACTTCCCTGGTGGTCCAGTGGTTAAGACTCCATGCTCCCAATGCAGGGGGCGCAGGTTCAATCCCCGTTCGGGGAACTAGATCCAGCAATGAAGATCCCGCGTGCTGCAACTAAGACCTGGAGCAGACAGATAACTAAATAAATAAACAAATAAATAAGTAAATAAAAATGGGAACAATTCTTATGTCATCTTTAAAAGATTATGCAATATAACATTTGTGAAAGCATCATATAATAAACTGCTAAATAATTGTAAGGTTTAATTTTTCCTTAAGCTGAATTCTTCATCAGTGAGCTACTCAATTTGTATAATCTAGAGCTGCCAGATTGCTGAAAAAATAAGTAAGTGCCAAAAAAAAAAGTACGCATCTGACATTCAGACACAGAAAACCCTGAAAATAGTCCAGTATTCAAATAAATTGTAAAACGATTTATTCCAAGGCCATACCCCACATGTACAAACAATGACATGCACCTCTTCAAAGACTTAATAAAAAGAGCAGTCTTTATATTTTACATTTTATAACAATTTTAAGACCTTCTTTTGCTCCCATCAAAAAAGTCTGATAAAACTGAGTTCCATAAAGTATCTAATGTATTTTCTTGTTTCTGTAAAACATATTGTCTCTTTAAATGTGAAATATGCAAATGTAACATTTTATTATGAAATTGTTCTCAATGTCTGAAATTCTTGATCATCTACAGAATCACATTGCCACATAGTTTTTAAAATGAGGTAAGAAGATAAACTGTTGAAACCTTTTTTGAGGCCATTTTTTCAGATGTTCACACCTCTCTGACCAGAAGTGCAACGTGGTCTTGACAGCTCCTTTTATGTAAGCAATATCAGTGGTTACTCAGTGTACTGGACAAATGACAGCAGCAACACCACTCATTTCAAAATTCATATGCTGTAAGTCTTTAAAACAATGTTAAGATCTCAAATCAAAGCTATTGCTACAGTGATTCACTAATTCCTTGACAGATATTTTAATAAATATTCCTCAACTCTAGAAAACTGTTCATAATCCTTTAAAGCAGGAGTCAGCAAACATGTTCTGTAAAGGTCCAGATAATAAATATTTTAGATTTCTCAGGTCACTTCTCAGCTGCATTTTTTTTTTTTACAACTCTAAAATATTGTTTTAAAAAATGCTTAGCTCTGCCGTACTCTGTTAATCCCCTACTTAAAAAAATAGAAGTTGCTAGTCTCTAAATTAGACTGCTCAAGTGTTAATAAAATGTAAACTTCACATTTTACAGTAAAATAAGTCCATGGTTACTGACCACTAAACTGAAAGTTCACAGACAATAGGAAATGAAGCCCATTCAAAGAGTGGGACTGCATTTCAGATATGCTCTTTAATCAATGGCACTTTCTTATGGCTTCTTATTCATTTTGAACTGGATAATTCATGCATGTCTTTACCATTTTTGTGTGTGTGTCTTTACTTTTTTCATAGGGAAAAAAATCTCCTCTTGTGACTAATTTAAAGTTTTCAAAATCAAAGACTGGAATACTTCCATGCTAAAAGAGGTAGACGCATACACATAGGTATATGCACTTACAAGCACGTGTGCAACGAAACCACTATTTGATTTATAAATGCTCTCCACGGCTAAGAAGGAACCAGTGGAAACCAGCTAGAAGGTACACAAAACAGTCCTAAAGGACATCCTCATTTGTTTTTATATATGTGGTTGTTACATGTGAGGAAAACATGATTTGCATATGAAATGTGAATATGAACTAATGCAACAGCATGGTTAATTCAGGTTCTTGATGAATATAACCTGGCGTTGACTAAAAAGATACAACAGAGAATTCAGCAGAAGTTAGTTTAGACTCTGATACAGTTAAACAGATCTGTTTATAATACTGTTTAATCTATAACACGGGCCTATAGCTTGGTACTGAGAACCACAACTGTGTGTGTGTGTGTGTGTGTGTGTGTGTGTTTGCATGTTTTCCTTTCCTACTACAAACAGCGCTGTGAACAAATCATGGCAAATAAATGAGTTGTGAATTTGCTCAAATACATCATTAACAAGTTGGAAGCCTCTTGAATGATGAGCTCATGGTATTCTATAAAAACATTTACAAATTCTAAAGCTAAGAAAGTTGCAAACTTTGGTAACCCTAAGAAAAAAGCTCAGTTACGGCAGTGAGCCCAGGCCCAATTTCTGAACTATAAAAAGTAAAGTTTTCAGTGCAAAAAGAGTATCTTGATAAATAGCAATGACACAACAATCACATGAAACAGTTAAAGACTATAAAACACATAAGTGATACCCTGAAGGCATGTTTTGGTATTAAAAAAAGGTACTTTGGGGCTAGGAGAAAACAGGCTGTTTTACCTATTTAACTGTGAGGTGAGTCTGGGCGGAGGACTGTTTAAACACTCCCTTTTGGCAAAAAGACTCAACACATTTATAGCTCATCATGTCTTTTCTTAAATGGCCACTTCGGGTGTTGCAATACATGGTCTGCAGCCTGAAGGACAAGGTACATAAATTCTTCTACATCAAAAGAGTAGTTGGTAAACTTCGGATGTTCCCCCAGAGTTGGGTGGTGGCCCTGCAAAAACGAAGCAAAAGACAAATTTGTAAGGTGTTGAGGATGTGGTTTTCTGAACAAGAAGAAAGTTATTTTACTTTGGCCAGAGGAACTATATTAGTTTATGCTCTACATCAGAGGTTGGCAAATTTTTTCAGTAACAGGCCAGATAACATATATTTTCAGCTCCATGGACCACAAAGTCTCCACCACAATTATTCAACCCTGCCAATGAAGTGCTCAAGCAGCCATAGACAACACGTAAACAGAGGAGCAGGACCATGTCCCAATAAAACTTTATTTATAGGAACAACTGGAGGGCCAGATTTAGCCCACTGGTCTGTAGTTTCCTGATCCCGTCTCTAAATAATTTAATAGATCTGTCTAGGCCCAGATTTCATGAAGTTCTCTTTTCCACATAAAAAGAGAGAGTAATTAATTTCTCCTTTCCCCTGATTTGCAAATATAAAGCACAACAACTCATGATTCCAGAGAAGAACCATTTTACCTTTGGATTGAAGTTCAAAGATAGTTTGTCACATTAACTAGACACTTTAAACCAATTAAAAGGAAAACAGGATGAGTTTTGTCCTGAACTTTACCTTATCTTGAGGAAAGACTTTGCTCTGCCTTCGCCAAGTGATGTAGTGGACGCCTCTCAGCCTGGCCAGGTCCAAGTAACAGCGTTCATCTCCACAGTTGTATCTAAGGACACAATAGCATCCACACATGGGGCTTTTGCCAGGGATTGCTGGCCAATTTGCAATTCTATGGGGAAAAAATTCACCTCCCAAATATGGGCTTACAAACGGTTTTATAAACGGTAAACAAGAGTGAGAGAGATTCGTGTTCATAGCAGCAGCATTCACAATAGCCGGAAGGTGCAAACGACCTGAATGTCTACCAACTGATGAATGGATAAATAAAATGTAGTATATCCATACAAGGAATAATTATTGACAATAAAAAGGAATGAGTACAGATCCATGCTACAACATGGATGAACCTTGAAAACATGATGCTAAGTGAAAGAAGCCAGTCAGAAAAGCCCACATATGGTATGATTCCACTTATATGAAATGTCCATAATAGACAAATCTATAGAGACAGAAAGTAGATTCGTGGTTTCCAGGGACTGGGAGGAGGATGGAATGAGAGTAATTGCTGAAGAGTACTGAGTTTCTTTGGGGGGATAATGAAATTTTTATAAAATTATGGTGGTGGCAGCAATCAGAGAAGAAAAAGAAATAAAAGGAATCCAAATCGGAAAAGAAGAAGTAAAGATGTCACTGTTTGCAGATGACATGATACTATACATAGAGAATCCTCAAGATGCTACCAGAAAACTACTAGAGCTAATCAATGAATTTGGTAAAGTAGCAGGATACAAAATTAATGCACAGAAATCTCTTGCATTCCTATACACTAAAGATGAAAAATCTGAAAGAGAAATTAAGGAAACACTCCCATTTACCACTGCAACAAAAAGAATAAAATATCTAGGAATAAACCTACCTAAGCAGACAAAAGACCAGTATGCAGAAAATTATAAGACACTATGAAAGAAATTAAAGATGATACAGATAGAAGGAGAGATATACCATGTTCTTGGATTGGAAGAATCAACATTGTGAAAATGACTCTACTACCCAAAGCAATCTACACATGCAGTGCAATCCCTATCAAACTACCAATGGCATTTTTCACAGAAGTGGAACAAAAAATTTCACAATTTGTATGGAAACACGAAAGACCCTGAAGAGCCAAAGCAATCTTGAGAACAAAAAATGGAGCTGGAGGAATCAGGCTCCCTGACTTCAGACTATACTACAAAGCTACGGTAATCAAGACAGTATGGTACTGGCACAAAACCAGAAATATAGATCAATGGAACAGGATAGAAAGCCCAGAGATAAACCCACACACATATGGTCACCTTATCTTTGATAAAGGAGGCAACAATATACAGTGGAGAAAAGACAGCCTGTTCAATAAGTGGTGCTGGGAAAACTGGACAGCTACATGTAAAAGTATGAGATTAGAACACTCCCTAACACCATACACAAAAATAAGCTCAAAATGGATTAAAGACCTAAATGTAAGGCCAGAAACTATCAAACTCTTAGAGGAAAACATAGGCAGAACTCTCTATGACATAAATCACACACATCCTTTTTGACCCACCTCCTAGAGAAATGGAAATAAAAACAAACACAAGGGACCTAATGAAACTTCCAAGCTTTTGCACAGCAAAGGAAACCGTAAACAACACCAAAAGACAACCCTCAGAATGGGAGAACATATTTGCAAATGAAGCAACTGACAAAGGATTAATCTCCAAAATTTACAAGCAGCTCATGCAGCTCAATAACAAAAAAACAAATAACCCAATCCAAAAATGGGCAGAAGACCTAAACAGACATTTCTCCAAAGAAGATATACAGACTGCCAACAAACACACGGAAGAATGCTCAACATCATTAATCATTAGAGAAATGCAAATCAAAACTACAAAGCCACTGTGGAGAACAGTATGGAGGTTCCTTAAAAAACTACAAATAGAACTACCATATGACCCAGCAATCCCACTACTGGGCATATACCCTGAGAAAACCATAATTCAAAAAGAGTCATGTACCAAAATGTTCATTGCAGCTCTATTTACAATAGTCTGGAGATGGAAACAACCTAAGAGTCCATCATCAGATGAATGGAAAAAGAAGATGTGGCACATATATACAATGGAATATTACTCAGTCATAAAAAGAAACGAAATTGAGCTATTTGTAATGAGGTGGATAGACCTAGAGTCTGTCATACAGAGTGAAGTAAGTCAGAAAGAGAAAGAAAAATACCGTATGCTAACACATATATATGGAATTTAAGAAAAAGGGACTGTCGTGAGGAGCCTGGGGGTGGGACAGGAGTGGGGACGCAGACCTGCTGGGGAGTGGACTTGGGGATGTGGGGAGGGGGGGTGTGGGCTGTGGCAGGGCGAGGGAGAGGCATGGACATGTGTACACTGCCAGGCGTGGGGTGGATGGCTGGTGGGAGGCGGCTGTGTGGCGCGGGGAGATCAGCTTGGTGCTTTGTGACCGCCTCAAGGGGTGGGGTGGTAATTGCCAGTTTTAAAGTTTTAAAACCATGCTATTAAAGCAAGGTAATGAAATACTTGTTCTTTGAGCACTAACACAATAAAGTAGGGTGGGGGCTGGCACACCATTGTGGGGCAATTGTACTCCAGTAAAGATGTGGGAAAAAAAGGGAAGGAAAAAGAAATACAAAAAAAATAAAGCCTTGAAAGATGTAGTTAAACTGTAGCTCAGACAGGTCACACTAGCAACCCCACACACACCCTTCTCCATTTTAACCGTATGTGGAAGTGTCCCTTTTCTGAATCTCTAGTCAACCCTGGAAAAGAAAAAACTTCCTAATATTTGCCAGTCTGAGAAGTGAAAAATAGCATCTTTTTAGTATTTTGATCTGTATTCTATTTTATCATGACTAATAGTGAATGTCTTTTCATATGTCGATTGGCAATTATTGTGCACTGTTTGTTTAAAAACAAATAAATAAATAAATAAATAAAACCACTGAATTATACGATTTAAATGAGTGAATTGTATGGTGTGTAAATTATGTCCCAATAAAACTGTTTATAGAAATGCACACACACAAAAGAGTGGGAGAGATTATTTTTAAAATATTCCCATAACTAAATTATCTTAACTTTCCAAAAGCAGAATAGGATTAAAGAATGGAGGGGACCTTTATCAATAAGACTGTGAACTTGATATTAACTCCTACTACCCCCATCTTTGTACATATGAACATGGCCTTGGGGTAGGTAACATATACTCCAAAGCAGAAATTGATCCCAGGTCTGTTGACCTCCAAGGCCTGAGATTTCTCAATGACATTTCTTTCCTTCCCTCCTTCCTTCCTTTCTTCCCTCCCTCCCTCTCTGGAAGAAATGAAGAATTGAAATAGAATCTACAATTACCTGGCTATTTCTCTAACATATATATATATATATATATATATATATATTTAAATGTTTTTCAGGGTGTTGGAAGTTCATGACAACTTTTTTCTAATTAGTCTCTCATTTAAATGCCAAGTCAGGGGCTTCCCTGGTGGCGCAGTGGTTGAGAGTCTGCCTGCCGATGCAGGGGACGCGGGTTCGTGCCCCGG